ATATAGACTAGACTATAGACTAGACTATAGACTAGACTATAGACTAGACTATAGACTAGACTATAGACTAGACTATAGACTAGACTATAGACTAGACTCTAGACTAGACTATAGACTAGACTATAGACTAGACTATAGACTAGACTATAGACTAGACTATAGACTAAACTTAAGAGTTGACTATAGACTAGACTATAGAATAGACTAGACTATAGACTAGACTAGAATATAGGCTAGACTATAGACTAGACTATAGACTAGACTATAGACTAGACTATAGACTAGACTATAGACTAGACTATAGACTAGACTATAGACTAGACTATAGACTAGACTATAGACTAGACTATAGACTAGACTATAGATTAGACTATAGACTAGACTATAGACTAGACTATAGACTAGACTATAGACTAGACTATAGACTTGACTATAGACTAGACTAGACTATAGACTAGACTAGAATATAGGCTAGACTATAGACTAGACTATAGACTAGACTATAGACTAGACTATAGACTAGACTATAGACTAGACTATAGACTAGACTATAGAAAAGACTATAGACTTTAGACTAAACTAACCTAGTCTATAGACTAGACTAGACTAGACTAGACGATAGACTAGACTATAGACTAGACTAGACTAGACTATAGACTAGACTAGACTATAGACTAGACTATAGACTAGACTATAGACTAGACTATAGACTAGACTATAGACTAGACTAGACTATAGACTAGACTAGACTATAGACTAGACTATAGACTAGACTATAGACTAGACTATAGACTAGACTATAGACTAGACTATAGACTAGACTATAGACTAGACTATAGACTAGACTATAGACTAGACTATATAAAAAGTAATTAACAAAAATCTAATAACAACTTCTTCTTTTAAATTAGTTCAACTGTTTAATGCTTTGTTTAGAAATGTTATATTAGTTGAGTGCTTCCATCTCTGTGTTGGGAAAAAAAGATAAAACACTCAATTAAAAAACAACAACAACATTAGAAAATATGTTTGAAGCAACAAGCATAAAAAAAACAACAATAACAACATCATTATTAACATCTTAAACTAGAGGACCTGATTTCTTATTGTTGTTGTATTTTTCGGCTGTGTAAACGAAAAGAGAAAGATAATAACGATCAGTTTTTAACGTGAAGCTAAACAACAAACACCTCGTTTATACGGTCGGTTGAACGAAACGGCAGTGTTCTCGTAGTGTAAACACAACATAAAATAAAACAACAACAAACGGAACAAAATACTGGCAGCGAAAAAAAAAACACAACAAAATTAAATGCAAAAACAAAATATTTAGTAAATGTGTGTAGCAAAAAAATGTCTTGATTTTGTTGTTTTAATTCCTTGTTTTTATGAAATGAAAACAACAGCAGCAAAAACAAAATAACGGAAGTGCGTAAAATAAAAGAGAAATAAAATATTAATAAAAAGAAATTGTAAAGAAAATTCTCCAGTTATTGGGGGAGAAAAGAAATCAATAAATTTTAAAGTTTATTATAAATTAATTAAAAGCAAAGAAAAAAGCCGGTTAAAAGAGAAAGAATTTACTTCAAAGCTAATGTCAACCTAAGGAAAAAGTAAATAGAAGTGAAAATTTTAATAAATCTTAAAGAAATTTTAAGAAATCTTATAAAAATTCTGAATGATTTTAAGAAAAATTTAATGAAATCTGTAAAATAAGGTTAAAATAAAAGAAATCTTTAATTTATAAATTATTAACAAGATTTTATAAAAAAAACTTACAAAAGTTAAAGAATTTTTAAAAATTGTGTGGCAAATCTGAAGTCTTGATTTAATATCGACCAGATGCCGGCAGGAAGATTGGAAAGTCTCAAAATTTTGTAGATTTAAGGAAAATTTTGTTTATATTGATGAAATTTCTTGAAAAACTATAAAAATTTTGCTACATTTTAAAGGAAACCTATAATCTTTGGCCGTTTTTTGACAAGTATTCGGCAGGAAGCTTTAAAAGACTTGATACTGAATAGATTTTTGCGAAATTTCTTTACAAAACAGAAATTTTTATGAAAGTGTAATGTTATCGACAGCATTTCTGTCTTTGATCAACATGAATCTTTGAGAATTCTGAAATTTTGTAAAATTTTAATGGGAATCTATAATTCTTAGCTGGAAATCTCAAATCTTTGGCCATTTTTATCAAAGTGCCGGTTTAAAACATGGAAAGGAACGATAAATGTGGAGATTTTTAGAATTTCTTTACAAAAGAAAAATTTTTATGACTATAGACTACAATATAGACTATACTATAGACTAGTCTATAAAACAGACTATAGACTTGGCTATAGAATAGACTCTTCTAGACTAAACTATATATCAAACTATACATTTTATTAAAATATTGTAATTTCATTTCAGTTTGCAGAAGTTTGTGACGGAATCATTAACATTTTAAAGAAAAGGCATGAGAATATTGAAATTCAATGAAATTTTGAAATAAAATATGAAAATCCATTGAAAATTTAAGATTTTTGAAAAAATAATAAAAATTTAAAACAAAACTTTACAAAATTGTAAAAAAAAATTGTTTAAAAAGTGAAAATATTATAAAAATAGTGTAAAATATTGTAAAAATCATAGTTAATTGTTCTAAAAGAAAAACTTAACAATAACAAGTAATTTTTTTTTTAAATTATAAATTTTTGAATTAAAATTGTGTAAAAAGCCGATAAAAATTAAAAGACTTATTATACAATAAAATAAATTGCATAAATTTATGAAAAATTAAAAACTTTTTAAATAAAATGTTCTAAAATCATTAAAAACTACAAAATTTTTGTTTAAAAATTTTGGAAAAACTTTAAAAAATTTGAAAATTTTTTAATAATTAAAGAAATTTTATCAAGTTCTACCAGAATTGTAAAAAAAAAATTAAATAAAATTTCCTTCAACCACAAAAGTTTCCATACAAATTTGTGAAAAACTACAAGAATAAAAAAAATTTTAAACAAAATCCTCTAAAACTAGAAAAAAATATTGAAATTTAATGATATTGAATAAAATTATAGAAATTGTATAAAATTCTTTAGTTTTTATGAAATTTGTAAACAAAATAAACTAAAAACAACAACAATTTGGCGGCAATTTCAATATTTCAACAAAAATTTTTGAAATTTTTAAAAAATTTCTAAAAAATTTTAAGCTTTTCAACAAAACTACCAAATAATTGGACATTTATAACAAAAACACCCGAATTTTAAAGGATTTCTTAAACAAAAGTAAGTATTCTTCTGGTTTTCCAATATTTTTTCAGAAAATTTTTAAAAACTCAAAAGTTTTTAGAAAATTTTAAAAAATTAACAATTTTATTAAATTTTTTTTTAAATTTTTTTTCATCTATTGATTTGGCCTAGTTTTGTTTTAACTTTTAAATTATTTTTTCTTTAAATTATAAATTTAAACTGTTTGTTTGAAATTTACTTGTCAAAATTTGCTCAAGTTTTTGTTTTTGTCTCTTTCAAAGGAAGCCTTTTTAGTGCGCATGATTAACAACTTTCAAATGTTTTTGACCAAAAATGGTGTTAAACAAACTACTTAAATGTTTGTTAAATGATAAAGACAAAAACTATATAAAATAAAAGCAAAAAACACACTAATTTGCTATTAAGAGTTAAAAAAATATTCTTCAAATTAAGAAAATTTTAAAAATAAAACTTTAAACTATAGACTAGATTATAGACCAATTATAGACTGTAGACTAGACTATAGACCAGACTATAGACTAGACTATGGACTGTTCTAAAGTCAAGACTATAGACTTTCCCATAGTCAAGAATATAGAGTGTTCTATAGTCGAGACTATAGATTGTTCTATAGTCAAGACTATAGACTGTTCTATAGTCAAGACTATAGACTGTTCTATTGTCAAGACTATAGACTGTTCTATTGTCAAGACTATATACTGTTCAATATTCAATACTATAGACTGTTCTAAAGTTAAGACTATAGACTGTTCTATAGTCAAGACTATAGACTGTTCTATAGACTATAGACTGTTCTATAGACTATATACTGTTCAATAGTCAAGACTATAGACTGTTCTATAGTCAAGACTATAGACTGTTCTATAGACTATATACTGTTCAATAGTCAAGACTATAGACTGTTCTAAAGTCAAGACTATAGACTTTCCTATAGTCAAGACTATAGACTGTTCTATAGTCGAGACTATAGACTGTTCTATAGTCAAGACTATAGACTCTTCTATAGTCAAGACTATAGACTGTTCTATAGTCAAGACTATAGACTGTTCTATAGTCAAGACTATAGACTGTTCTATAGTCAAGACTATAGACTGTTCTACAGTCAAGACTATAGACTGTTCTATAGTCAAGACTATAGACTGTTCTATAGTCAAGACTATAGACTGTTCTAAAGTCAAGAGTATAGACTTTCCTATAGGCAAGACTATAGACTGTTCTATAGTCGAGACTATAGACTGTTCTATAGTCAAGACTATAGACTGTTCTAAAGTCAAGAGTATAGACTTTCCTATAGGCAAGACTATAGACTGTTCTATAGTCGAGACTATAGACTGTTCTAAAGTTAAGACTATAGACTGTTCTATAGTCAAGATTGCAGACTGTTCTATAGGCAAGACTATACACTGTTCTATAGTCCAGACTATAGACTGTTCTATAGTCCAGACTATAGACTTTCCTATAGTCAAGACTATAGGACCATAAGATAGTCTTTATGGTCAAGACTATAGACTGTTCTATAGTCTAGACTTAACATTGCTCTATAGTCAAGACTATAGACTGCTCTATATTAACTACTATAGGCTGCTCTAGACTGAAGAATATGGACTGTTCAATAGTCAGGATTATAGATTGTTCTTTAGCGAAGACCATTGACTTATTATAGTCAAATTTAATATAAGAAAAAAGTAAATTTAATAAAAAAAAAACAAAAACAATATGTACTAGTTATTTAAAATCACTCACCTTTTTCTTTTGTTGTTCAACTAACGTTATACTCCCGCTTGTATTTTCTTGCATACAAAAACAATATCTCCATTTTGCAACACGTGTCAACATATTTACATACATATTTACCACCAACTCTTTTTTTTAACTTTTTTTCATAATTTTTCGCAGCTTTTCTTTCCAAATTTTTCCACTACATACCACCATTGTTTCAAGCTTACTCCTCCTAACTTCACAAAACGAAAGGCCCGACAAAAAAATCACCGACCAGCGCTCGGCTTAACGAAATTGCATTGCATATTTGGCAAATTTTAAAACACTTTTTTTATATCAATAATTTAACACTTTTTTACAAAACATTTTTCAATAACGGTATTTATAAACAATTTTCAACAAAAATATTTAATTATTAACAATTAATCGACGCTGTTGATTAATTTAAACATGAACGACCGGCGTTCGGCTTAACAAAATTGCATTGGATTTTCGGCAAATTGTAAAACACTTTTTTATATTAATAATTTAAAACTTTTTTATAAACACTTTAACATAACGGTATTTATAAACAATTTTCATCAATAATATTTAAATATTAACAATTAATTAACTCTATAGTTTTATTTAAACATTACTATGAACACAAAACAACCGAACACTTTAGAATTTTATAGAAAACTAAAGAAGAAGACAAATAAAGCAACAAATGCTTATCAAAATTGTCTTTGTTGTTGTTATTAGTAGTACTCCTTTTTAGAGAGCAAATTGCAAATAACAATAACAACAACTGCAATAATTGATTGATGCTTTTTGTTATTCTTTCATTTCATTACTTTTCTTAATATTTCTAAAGTGTTTGGTTGTTTAGGGTTAACGGTACTGTTTAAATTAAGCCTAAATGTTAATTGATTGTTAATAAGTATGTAATAAAATATTTATGAAAAAAGTTTTAGACAATTTAATAAATATGTAAAATTTACCAAAATTGTTAGAAGCAAAAATTATAAAATGTAATTATTGATGTGAAGGAGACAACTACAACAACAAAATTATACCAGGCATGGAAAATCGCAATTTTAAAATAGTACTACGTATAAGCTAGACTATAGAATATACTATGGACTAGACTATGGACTGGACTATAGACTAGTCTATAGACTAGACTATGGACTGGACTATAGACTAGTCTATAGACTAGACTATAGACTAGATTATAGACTAGACTACAGACTAGACTATAGACTAGACTATGGATTGGACTATAGACCAGTCTATAGACTAGACTATAGACTAGACTATAGACTAGACTATAGACTGGACTTTAGACTAGACTAGACTAGACTATATACTAGACTATATACTAGACTATAGACTAGACTATATACTAGACTATGAGACTATAGACTAGACTATAGACTAGACTATAGACTAGACTATAGACCTAGACTATAGACTAGACTATAGACTAGACTATGACTAGACTATAGACTAGACTATAGACTAGACTATAGACTAGACTATAGACTAGACTATAGACTAGACTATAGACTAGACTATAGACTAGACCTTAGACTAGACTATAGACTAGACCTATAGACTAGACTATAGACTAGACTATAGACTAGACTATAGACTAGACTATAGACTAGACTATAGACTAGACTATAGACTAGACTATAGACTAGACTATAGACTAGACTATAGACTAGACTATAGACTAGACTATAGACTAGACTATAGACTAGACTATAGACTAAGACTATAGACTAGACTATAGACTAGACTATAGACTAGACTATAGACTAGACTATAGACTAGACTATAGACTAGACTATAGGACTAGACTATGGACTAGACTATGAGCTAGACTATAGACTAGACGATGGACTAGACCTATATACTATAGACTATAGACTAGACTAGACTAGACTATAGACTAGACTATAGACTAGACTATAGACTAGACTATAGACTAGACTAGAGACTAGACTATAGACTAGACTATAGACTTGACTATAGACTAGACTATAGACTAGACTATAGACTAGACTATAGACTAGACTATAGACTAGACTATGACTTAGACTAGACTATAGACTAGACTATAGACTAGACTATAGACTAGACTATAGACTAGACTATAGACTAGACTATAGACTAGACTATAGACTAGACTATAGACTAGACTATAGACTAGACTATAGACTAGACTATAGACTAGACTATAGACTAGACTATAGACTAGACTATAGACTAGACTATAGACTAGACTATAGACTAGACTATAGACTAGACTATAGACTAGACCATAACTAGACTATAGACTACTATAGACTAGACTATAGACTAGACTATAGCTAGACTATAGACTAGACTATAGACTAGACTATAGACTAGACTATAGACTAGACTATAGACTAGACTATAGACTAGACTATAGACTAGACTATAGACTAGACTATAGAATAGACTATAGACTAGACTATAGACTAGACTATAGACTAGACTATAGACTAGACTATAGACTAGACTATAGACTAGACTATAGACTAGACTATAGACTAGACTATAGACTAGACTATAGACTAGACTATAGACTAGACTATAGACTAGACTATAGACTAGACTATAGACTAGACTATAGACTAGACTATAGACTAGACTATAGACTAGACTATAGACTAGACTATAGACTAGACTATAGACTAGACTATAGACTAGACTATAGACTAGACTATAGACTAGACTATAGACTAGACTATAGACTAGACTATAGACTAGACTATAGACTAGACTATAGACTAGACTATAGACTAGACTATAGACTAGACTATAGACTAGACTATAGACTAGACTATAGACTAGACTATAGACTAGACTATAGACTAGACTATAGACTAGACTATAGACTAGACTATAGACTAGACTATAGACTAGACTATAGACTAGACTATAGACTAGACTATAGACTAGACTATAGACTAGACTATAGACTAGACTATAGACTAGACTATAGACTAGACTATAGACTAGACTATAGACTAGACTATAGACTAGACTATAGACGAGACTATAGACTAGACTATAGACTAGACTATAGACTAGACTATAGACTAGACTATAGACTAGACTATAGACTAGACTATAGACTAGACTATAGACTAGACTATAGACTAGACTATAGACTAGACTATACACTAGACTATAGACTAGACTATGCTATAGACTATGCTATAGACTAGACTATAGACTAGACTATAGACTAGACTATAGACTAGATTATAGACTAGACTATACACTAGACTATAGACTAGACTATGCTATAGACTAGACTATAGACTAGACTATAGACTAGACTATAGACTAGACTATGCTATAGACTAGACTATGCTATAGACTAGACTATGCTATAGACTAGGACTATAGACTAGCCTATAGACTAGGACATATAGACTGACTATAGACTAGACTAGGACTAGATTCATAGACTAGGACTTTAGGACTAGACTATAGACTAGACTATAGACTAGACTATAGAGCTAGACTATGACTAGGACTAATAGACTAGGACTATCGACTAGACTATAGACTAGACTATAGACTAGACTATAGACTAGATATAGGACATAGATATAGACTAGTATAGACTAGACTATAGGACTATAGGACTAAGACTATAGGACTAGACTATTAGACTAGGACTATAGACTAAGGACTATAGACCTAGTGACTATTGACTAGGACTATAGATTGACTATAGACTAGATTTATAGACTAGACTATAGACTAGACTATAGACTAGACTATAGACTAGACTATAGACTAGGACTATACACTAGACTATAGGACTAGGACTATGCTATAGGACTAGACTATAGACTAGACTATCGACTAGACTATAGACTAGATTATAGACTAGACTATAGACTAGACTATAGACTAGACTATAGACTAGACTATAGACTAGACTATACACTAGACTATAGACTAGACTATGCTATAGACTAGACTATAGACTAGACTATAGACTAGACTATAGACTAGACTATGCTATAGACTAGACTATGCTATAGACTAGACTATAGACTAGACTATAGACTAGACTATAGACTAGACTATAGACTAGACTATAGACTAGACTATAGACTAGACTATAGACTAGACTATAGACTAGACTATAGACTAGACTATAGACTAGACTATAGACTAGACTATAGACTAGACTATAGACTAGACTATAGACTAGACTATAGACTAGACTATAGACTAGACTATAGACTAGACTATAGACTAGACTATAGACTAGACTATAGACTAGACTATAGACTAGACTATAGACTAGACTATAGACTAGACTATAGACTAGACTATAGACTAGTCTATATAGACTAGACTATGGACTAGACTATAAACTAGACTATAGTACTAAAGTATTAAATTTTCTATGCCTTCTTATCCACCTTATTTATGCTCCAAAAAGTAACGGTACCACAAAAAACACATGCATACTCTTCGCCTACTACTCTCTTTATTAACTCTCAGTACTTTACAATTGAAGTTATAAACAGAGAATAATAAACACTATAATAATAACAACAACAGCAGCAATAACAAATCGCAATTGCATTCATTGCTTTTTCTTCAACATTGTTTTTGCTAACATCACCATTTTTGGGGAGGAAGAACAACAACAACAATCAAATCAAAACAATGTTAACTATATAGAGTCCTAGTTTTGCTGCTGCCGTTGTTTATAATTTGTTGCAGTTGTTGGTTTATATTTATATTTAGTTTTTTTTTTTATTTATTGGAGAGGATGTTGTTCTTGTTTTATTTTTTTTTTCATGCATATTTGTGGTTTGATTTATAAATTTCCTTAATTGTCAGGTTGTTTTAAAAGTAAAGATTTTAATCAGCTAAATAAGAAAATGTTGCGGAAACAATAATGTTTAGCAACATGTGACAGGTTTAAACTTAAATTAAACGAGAAATAAAATATCAGTATGAAATTGAATTCCAAAAAAGTGTCATAAATGATATCATTAGTTCTTTTTTCACCTATCCCTAATAGAAATTTATGAAAGTCCCCAAAATTTAACTTCCCCACTTGGGGATTTTTTTAGATGAAATTGGGAGTTATAATATAACACTGAAAATAATATAATAAGTAGTTTTAGAGAGCTTTTATAACAAAATTTGTTTAAAATATCAAAAGTTTGACTTCCCCAGTTGGGGTATTATGTGAAAATCAATTGGGAATTTTAAAATAAATTCAAGTTTCTTTTCCTTAGGACTCGCTAAAACATTTTATAAACAAAATTTATGAAAAACTCAAAAATTTCACTTCCCCCGCTGGGGGTTCTTATGTGTTACAATTGGGAATTCTAAAATAATACCAAAAATGTTATGTTTAGGACTCGTTAAAACGTTTTATATTTATGAAAAGCTCAAAAATTAAACTTTCCCGGTTAGGGGATTTTGAGAATTACAATTGGGAACTCTAAAATAAATTCAAAAATCTTTTCCTTAGGACTTAATAAGACGTGTTCTAATAAAATTTTATAAAAAACTCAAAAATTTAACTTCCCCAGTTAAGGGATTTTGTGCAAATCAATTGGGAATTCAAAAATAGAAACAAAAATTTTATAGTTACCACTCGTTAGG